TACGATTTTTCTCTGCTCTAACATCAAACATCACATAATTCATGAATTTATTATATTCCAACAGAAATTTCGATGTCATATACTCAAATTCCCTAAACGCTGTCAGGGAATGTACCGATTTCTGTCTCTTTTACGTTTCTGTCTCTTTTACAAAGATGGTATATTGAGCGATATAATGCAATCATTGACTGTGATTTTGCTCAGTATATTACTCTTTTCCTTCTTTCAAACAAATAAAAAGTTTATACTAATGTACAGATTCCCCAGAGAATGTGAATATTCCCTATGCAAATGTCAGGGAATGTATACATTCCCTGTAACATTTATATGATGATTTATATGATGCTTATGCAACTTACGGTAGTTTTTTTCATAGTACTGATTATTGTGATTTTTTGCTGTTCATATTGAATGATAAACAGATATGTTCAGAAGATAGAAAATCAAAAGTTCTTCTAGAAAGTTAATAGTGGTGAATCTACAGGGAAGTAACCTTCTGTATTTTAAGAAGAAAATTGATGTCATTCCGTCACAGAGCATATTCTGGCTCGTTCTGTTTGATCCAAACACGTACAAGCAAAAGTAAATAGAGATTCTGAAAACCCAAAGAATTCTCTACAACGACTTCAAAAACTTTTTATACAAAGGTTTTTCACTCAAAGTTTCATTTTAGAGTAATATTCAAAATGCATAAAGGCCTGAAAAAAAATTTCCATTCTTTTGTCATTCCGTTACGACCTCTCTGTTCGCTATAACTTTTGATCAATGCAATCAATCAAGCTAAAATTTCTACAGCTGAGAGGACTAGTAGACTTACATTAGCAAAAACATTTTCACCCTAAACTATTGCGTGGTTCGAGAAATAGAGGTAGCGAAAGACGAAAAAATGTATTACGTCACAGTTGGCCGGGCCGAGATATCTTTCTTGTATATGCATATCTTTCTTGTATATGCATATCTTTCTCTCTGTTTCTGTTCCGTATTTCTGTTCTGTTCCGTACCTCTGTTCTGTATTTTGTGAAACCGAATTATGGATTCTGCAAGACATCTATTTGTTAAAACAGCTTTCCTGACAGAAGTTCGTCAATGGCGTCGATAGAGTGATATCACATTAGGCGTAAGTGTAAATCTGAAGAACGATCTGAGAAATGGAGAGAACGTGATGGATCGAAACAATGTAACTGAATGAGGTAAGAAGACAGCAAGTGCAGTATTGGAAAAAAGCTTTAAATCTATTCGATCTGCATTAATAATACGATCCTCATACCACCAATTTTGAGTTATTCAATGAACTGGTTACCAATTCCAGTTCTTTTCAAACAAACAAGTCATCAGTTCCAGTTCCCTCCAAAAGAACGGGTGGCCAATTCGAGTTCCTTCGAAAAGAACTGGACGACCGAAACCAGTTCCGTTCTTCGATTGGGAACTGTTACACGTCTAGTCATTAGTCGTAAAATAGAAGTTCGAGCGGAGTTCAGTCGATATGATTAACAATTAACTGTTGACAGTGGTGCTGAATTGATTTGGAAGGACACTACTCAATGTCAACTTTATTCTTTTATTCAAAAAGAGAAGAAAAAGCGGAAAAGAAGTAAAAAGTATATCTACGGCTAAATAAAATGAAAAGGACAAAAATTGAAAAATTATTGATTGTTGATGTCATGTCAATAAATCTTTCAGTTGACACTTCAGTACCTTGGTTTCGCTATGATTCGTACTGTGTAATCTCTTGCTTCACCATAGCCACTGTTGTAGCATGATCTACGATTTTGTTCATCTTGTGTCAGAATAATACGCATTCGACGTTGTCCATCCAAGTAATACCCTCCATCAATCTTCGGAATGTTAATATGTAAATCATATTGAGTTTTATGATTATCATCTCTATATCGATCAGTAGGACTCATTCGTTCTTTACTTTCATCGAATATATCATCGTTGTTGAAATCAATCCAAACATCAAGATAGTGAGCACGATTACATATTGTATCAAACAACGACGAATCTCGATTATACGAATTTTCATAATCCCCTTGTTGTACACAAAACAGTTCGATATGAAGCGTATAGGCCATATTGTCGAATAAGGTTACAACCAGATCCCTTCGATCACTGTAATTATTCGTCGAACTACATTGTTTTGTTGAATCATCAATTTGTGTATTTTGTTCACCAAATAATTTCACCAAAAAAATAGCACTATTACCGCCCGAACAGGCTAAATTGCCGGGTGAACAATGCACGGCTCTGAGTTCTAAAAGAGAAAATACAGCATATTGTTATTCGTCACAATCTTGCTCAGGAGAAAAATCTTGAATGCAGATCTTGATAAATCTTTAAAGATTTCTCAAGTTTCGCCCCAGATCTTTCAAGAACTTGTGCAGATTTATCGAAATCTGTCAAGATTCTGAAGGTAATGTTGCAGATTTTTCACAAGTTTTGTATCAGAATCTGTCGTGATAAATCTTGAGCAGATCTTGTCAAGATATTTCAACAATTCTGAAATGATTAATTTAATACGCAATAATCAGAATCTTCATTAACATATTTGGGAATTTGAAAGAAAATCTTAAACTTTATTTTCTACTTAATATTTTCATTTTTTTCTACTGTATCACTACAGTGCAAGCTCTACGGTACTATGCATACAGTACCAGAGCTGTTGAAAGTGCACGAGCAACCATAAATTCAAACACAATGTTGGAATTTTACTTTGAAAATTTTCAATGTTCTGTAGTGCTAGTATTTATTCTTATATATGCAAGAACAATCTCAAACAAAATGGTGATTGAAAGAATAACATATTTATTTGTCTACCCTATCGACCAATAGAATTTTAGCAGAAGTCCTCTACACTGTAGTACTACAATAACTATAAATAAATGCAAAGTTGGCATATTTACATTTTTGTCGAATCTCTGAGTCATGTCGTAATCAAAATAATTGATAACTTTTTTTGTTAGCAAAGATTTTGTTAATTACAGAAAAGTTTTCATATCTTGTTAAGATCTTGATCCAGATTCTTGCAGGCAAATTCCTCAAAAAAAACTTGACAAAAATTGTTGAGATCAAGAAACTTGACAGATCTTGTACAGATATAAACTTTCTGCAGGACATGGGTTGATGAAAAAATGTATGTGAGATACTGATGCTCGCTATATCGATCTCCGTACAATACAATTCGCTTGTCTTAACGTCTGCACGGTCATATTTATACCAAGGAATAATATAGCGGCTTGTTTTTCGTTTTCATTATAATAGCGAGTTTCTTCGCTCTTATTATTAAACAAAACCACATTTTCAATATGAATCAAAGACTTTTATTCAGTAATTAAAAACAACCATCATACCTCCATATGTTGTCCTTGGAATAATGTTGAATGTATACTCCCGTATTTCTCTGTAGTCAGTTTTGCCACACTTTTTGTGATATTCTTCACTCGGCATCACAACAACACGTACCCGATGTATACCACTTTTCAGATTCTGTCCATCAATAACAGGTATTGATATTTCAAGATCATATATACCTAGTCCCATAGAACTATGTAGTGGCCACCGATGAGGAACACGACTTTCTGCTTCGTCGTATTTTCCATCATTGTTTAAATCAATCCAGACATTCACATCTTGAGCAAGGTTACAATTCGTATCGTATGAACCTCTACTCGAGGGTCGGTCACAGTCCAATTGGACACGTAGCCGATAGATACTATTTTCATATAAACTTACGGCCACGTGATGTCGATTTTGATTCTCACCCACGAACGTATTCATTGGTGTATCATCTCGAATATGTGTCCCTAGCTCACCAGTCATTATAACAAGTACGATTTTGCTATTGTTTTGAAAACATGCATTATCACTTAACCGCAAATAGGGAACTCCAGTGTCGACTACAAATAATGAAGATGCAAAAACGTTAGTATTCTGTACTGATTCAATTAAGAAAACTATCTAGTGCCTCGTGTCATCTATCTATATTAGAGAATCGCGTTTACAGTTCCGTTAATGTTGTCAAGCTCGTTTTTTAGAACATCGGTTCATGATTAAGAAATAATAATTACATTTTGATCTAAGCTAAAAGTTCTAAATTTTGATAAAATGAATGTAAAATAATACAATGCATCTATCCTTAATAACCTTCACGAAGATCAAATTTCTACCAGACTTAGAATGATCCTATTTGTCCGAAGGATATTTTCGGTATATCTCATATGTAGTATAAGAAAAGATCTAGTGTTGTTTTCTTCGTATTTTTTTGCGTATGAGCGTGAATAGCGACATGGAAACAGTTGTTAGCAAACGTTCTACTTATTTGTTAATAAAAACATCAGTCTGTCATGGCCAATTGTATAAGAATAACGTCTGATTAAATTTTACTCTACGTTGAGAAAGACATTATCGATTTCTTCATGCATCTTTCATCGCACTAAATATATGTGAAAGACTATTAGAGACACTATCTTCTACTTGACTAACCAAAAAGCTTCAGTGGCATATTAACAGGAAATTTTGCTTTTCCAAAACATCCTTACAATTGAAGGAGAATTTACTTTATAATAATAACCTTCAAACATATTTATGCTTTTGACTGTAACGCTCATTCTTGAAATGTTAAAATTATCATAACAGAAACAGTCAAGTAAACCTATAAGATCTAATGTAGACAAACAAATATTTACCTGGTTGACTGGTATATCGAACAATGGTAACGTTGTACTGTCGTGCCTCCCTATAGTAATTATTGCCACATTTGTTTCGATATTGTTCATTCAACGTGACGACAAGGTGCATAACATGTGGTCCATCTTTTATCTTTCTTCTATCGATAATAGGTATATATATTTGTAGATCATAGACACCATCTGGTATGTAACTAGCGAGTGGCCAACGATAAGGAGTTGCGTTTTCTGAATCATTAAATTTTCCATCATCGTTTAAATCAATCCAAGCATTCACATCATGAGGAAGAGTGCAATTGGTTTTAAATGAATCTCTGCCCCGTTGTCGAGTGCATTCTAATTGAATGCGCAGCAAATAAACGGTGTCTTCATACAATATAATACTTAAGTGTTGTTCATTTCCTCTGTCTCTACTCATCACAGCTCTTGTTGACGGATCATCTCGAATCTGCGTTCGGTATTCACCAGCCATAATAACAAGAAGAATTTTGCCAACGTCAGAAACACATTCAAAATCTGTTGATACCGTATAGGGAGGCGAAACAGCGACTAGAGCTAAAATTCATACAAAAAAGCAGACTATTACGTTCTGATTCAGATACACAATATAAGAAGCATCTCGTGTCATATATGATGTAACATTATTCTTGAATCCCAATCAAATAATGATTAAAATCAATTTGAACTTGCAGACAGATCACTGAAATACTTATTTATATTGCCGTATAGAATGATGTTTCATTGCTGGTAAGTAAGAAACTGCAAGCTGTGCAAAAAAAGAGTTTGATGATACAATAGTTTTCTCAATGTTTACAAGACACGTATAGCTTAAGTCTTTATTGAGTTGTACTATCAGGAAAAAAGTTTACCAGCCTTCAAAACCTTGAAAATGACATAGTTTCCTTAGACCTCACACTGCAAGAATATTTTACTTCTGAATCGTGTAGAATGTCTTCTTGTGAAGAATGTGTTCAATAATTCATAGGATTTACTTGAACTTTTCACTATCATCGATTCTTATTTTGTATCCGCACAAGATGTTTTTCTACACGTTTTATTTGCGTTTGAACTTTTGGAGTACCATGTACGGTTATTCTGAAAACGTATTATGAACTCGTTTCGTCACAATATCTACATATGTCTTAATGAATCATATCAGTCGAAAAATGAAGTCTAACGAGGGCTGGGCGAATTTCTTAGATTCGGAAATAATCCCTTGTCCTATGGTTCTACTATTCTAAGTGAGAAAAAATTTTATACTTCAACGCATTAAATATGCATTAGATGTGCATTACATCCATTAATTGTGCATTACTATCTACTATCTATCAGGCAACATTTACCTAGTAGAATATTAGAAAACTAGAACAGTAGAATAGTAGAATAGTAGAATACTAGAATAGTAGAATAGTAGAATAGTGGAATACTGGAATAACAGAATAGAATAGTAGAATAGCACAATAGTACACTGTAAAAGATAAAGTGTCTCCTTTATACATTAGGATCCATAGTGCAGTCTGGTCTGGTTCTCTAAAGGGTCTGTGCTGAATATGTCTCAGATCCATCAACCTGTTGCTCTAATCTATCCGATGGCAGTAGTTTTTTTTTGCTGTTTTTTGCTTGTCTATTTTGGACATTACTTATCCAAGTATTTTTCTAAGTATTTGTTCTCAAGTACATTGACTAGGGCTGTAACCAACATTCATATGAAATCTTGTCAGATTTCATATGCTCTTGTAAGGTCTTGTGGTGTCTTGTAATATGAATTACAAGATCATATTTCAAGATTCTTCATCCTGAAAAGCTACATATTTCTTATATGTCAAATTAAAGCTTATTTTAATCGGACCTCAATGGCATGGCCTTTTGTGATAAAAAAAAGCAAAAACTTTTTCAAAAGATAGGATTTTGAAAAGGTCGGTGAAAAATCCGTTCAGTGTTTCAAAATTTGCATTAGCAATGAAAAAAATTCCAGAAATCCCAAAAATTCCAGTTTTTAGACGACACTGAACACTATTTATCTATCTGAAAAAACAAATACATTGCTATTTTATACTCCGAACGGATTTTCCACAGACCGTTTCAAAATACTACCTTCTAAAAAGAGCCTTTACTTTCTTTATTACAAACACTATGGCATTGAGGTTCATTTAAAATAAGTTTTAATTTGATATATAACAACTAATTGTACTTCTGCTGGTTCAGGCAGTAGCCCGTGGAAAACACTATTCTACTATTCTGCTATTCTCCTATTCTCCTATTCTAGTCTTTTACTATTCTAATCATTTCTATCCAACAACTTAATTCATAATATAATGAAATAATGCAAATTATGGCCTACTAATATGCCTTAAAATGTTCTTCTATTCTACTTTGTATCCTACAATTCTAACTGCCAAACCGAATATTACACCAAATGAAAATTTTTGTCTAACGGAAATTCGCCCTGCTCTGGACGTTTTTCGTATAGTCTACATCCAATTCTGTTTTGGTGACTGCATACATTATCCATATATGTCATACGGATAGAAAACGTGTTCTCAGGAGATTTCCCGTAAGTATCAAGAGCTGATATATTATGACCGAATTTCAGCCTTGGTTGATATATATTCGATAACTCAATTTGGAATAAGATCTGTTTGAAGGTTCAATGCCTTTCACGAGTTGCATAGAATTGAGAAAAGTTCAGAAAAAATTTGCCTGTTTTTAAGAGTTAGACACGTGAATAGCAGTTGAAACACATTGTTATCTGCACACGGAAAGCCAAAAATGAATTATTTGAACTTTTTCATTTAACATTATGACCGAAAACTACTTATCAGTAAATAGATGAATACTTACCTGAATATTTCATTCTTGGAATAATATTAACAGTATACTCTCGTGTTTCGTCGTAGGCCCTGTAGCCACAATTTCTTATATAATAGTCACTTGGTAGGACAACAAGCTGCATTTTATGCGCTCCAGTTTTCGTATATCTACTATCGATCATAGGTACGTATATTTGCAAATCGTAGATGCCTTCTGCCATGTAACTAGTTACTGGCCAACGATAAGGAGATCCGATTTCTGAATCATCAAATCTGCCATCGTCATTTAGATCAATCGAGACAATCACATCTTGAGCAAGATTACAACCAGTTGGAGTTAAATCGGTGCTCAATTGGGTAGAACACGCCAACTGAATGCGTATCAAATAAATCGTGTGTTCAAAAACTGTAACGACCAGATGATGTTGATTCTGATAATTACTCATTAAAGTATTCTTTGGTATATCATCTCGAATTTCTGTTCCTTTCTCACCGGCCATTATAACAAGAATAATTTTGGCAAAGTTCAGAAAGCAAATTGGATTCCTGTATGGGGCAGCTGTAACGACTACAACAAAAAGACATTTAGCATATCAGATATTATGTATTGATGGAATTGAGTAGAACGTGTTATGTCTCGTATTATGTCTCGTACTATAGAGGTATGATCGATGTGGCTATCTTTTTTATTAATCAATGGTAACTGAATTCATTTGAATCGGCCGAGTTATTTGTATATTTGATACCGATGCAAAACTTGTTCTAAGGAATATCTGTTTATATACCATTCCATTGTAATACTTTTTTTCTTAATTCAATTTTTCGATTGTATACAGAGAAAGATCAGTTAAATCGAGATCATAGAAGAATATTTACTGTTTATATTCTCACTATGGCATTTTGTGATCATTTACAGACACATAAATATTCTTTTGTAATCTCGCTATCATTCGAACTATATCTCTGTATATCATACAAGCATTTTTGCCGGCAAATAGTAGTACTTCCGTGTCATACGGTGGAGGGATAGAATGTCATTGGCAAGTGTACCTTTATCATCTGAGAGGATACTTTCTCAAAAATTGACTAGAACGAAAAGTAAGCTGTTGGTATACACTCTCCACATCGCTCACGAACCTATGTTGATTGTCTAAATGGCTCAATCAAGGGGACTCTAGCACCCTCAGGAAAAAATTTCTTTTGGGAAGATACGGCAAAAACTTTTCAACTTCTGAAAATGTTGTTTTTCTTAGCGCTCGACCCTCTCCTCAGAAAATTTTTGCGTACGTGCCTGATTCGTAGATAATTCCGTTCCTCCGTAACTGTCACGAAGATGCACCATCGCAATATTCATTCACGTACACGGGTGTTATTTTCCCGTTGATAAATCAGTTCTCAGCAGTCGAACAAAATACGGCATTGTCCTTATTCCAAAATAAACCTCACTCAAAGCGATTGACTTCTATGCCGAGTCCGATTATATCATCCTAGCAGAAGGTATCTAGAGTGTCGTTACATGCCGAAAGTGTTCATATCAATATGAAGTTACAAGAATTTAAAGCCGCTGAGAACCTTTGTACATCGTACGAAGATAAAATGTTCATTTACCATAATGAGAAGCAATTGATTGCGGCTTAAAACCAAAAGACAACTCCGTCTGTTGTTTAAAATTGTGATTAGTTTTTTTTTATTCCACAAAAGAATTATGCCTTTTGCAATACACACCATTCACTATGTTTTTTGTCAACATTTCAGTTTAGACAAAAGACTTCCGACGTATTCCATAATTATTATTTAAAAAGCGTTTTTTTCTAGTAATGTACCACTGATGAGTGCTCATTTGATTAAAAGAAAACTATGAAATATCAGATTTGAGTAAAAGTTTCTAGTAAAAATGTTTTTTCACACTGTCAGATTTTTCGCTCGCAATTCGACGATGTCAAAATTTCTCGCTCGAAATTCAATACTGGCGAAAGCCTGTCGAATTTCACGCGAAAACTTTCAAACAGACTAGAAATTCGATAGATTTTTTGCTTCACTTCTCTACTAGAGAAGCAAAAGCGTAAACACGTAGAAGCGTAGACAATCCCTACGTCTTTACGTCACCATTTCAGGAAAAAAACCATCAAGAGTCTCCGGAGCTTAGTGGCTGGATACTGAACGTGGTCTGGTGACTCACTCTCATGTCCACACCTACCCACCCGTTTTTACCCTTTTGTCTTTTGAAATTTTTCAATGGAAATTCGACACTTTCCAAACACGCTGTCGAAAACTGTTTTTGTAGAACCGCGAAATTACTAAAAAAGCCATTCATATCACAAAATATGAAATCCATACTTACAATGACGAGAAAATTGCTATGATGGGCAACGTATTTTCTTGAATACAAATTCTCAACTATGTACTATTATGATTCAAACTATGTCATCAGTAAACAGAAAAAGATTTACCTATAGGTCTCGCCTTTGGAACAATATTGATTGTGTAATCGATTGTTTCTTGGTATCCGATAGTGCCACACTCTCTTTGATATTCTTCACTCGGCATCACAGTGAGACGCATACGGTGAAGTCCAAATTTGGTATTTCTGCCATCAATAGTAGGTATACGTATCTCCAATTCATATATACCTGTGGGCGTGTCATAGTCTGACCAAGAGCGACGGAGAACTCGACTTTCTGCATCATCAAATTCATTGTCGTTGAAATCAATCCACACGGTCACACTTAGAGAACGGCTACAAGGGCTGTTCAACGAACCTCCGTCCAACTGTCCACCGCAATCAAGATAAACAAGTAATCGATAGATAGACTCTTCATACACTGTTACAGTGAGATATTGTCGATTTTGTCTATCGGTCAAAATGACATTCGTTCGTACATCATCCTGAATACGGGATTCCAATTCACCAGACATTTGAACAAGACCAATTTTGTTAATGCACAAAGCACATCCAGAATTCTTTAATGCAATAGATCGCGCTGCGCTATTGACTGGAACTAATAAAAATATACAAAATGAATTATCGAATTTTCGACATAACATATCAAGCAGTTCAGTAACATTTTTTTACCGTGAAAACACTTTTGAACTAATCTGAAGCCGCTTTTTTTTACACATGCTAATACATCGTACCGATACAGATTTTGTTCTTTTGAACTATTATTTTCAGTCAAAAGAATGCATGAAAAAAATATGCATTTAGCCACCCTTTTCGCAATTTCTGTTTTGCTTGTGATTATTACGTGTTGAACTATTTAGTGTTATTCTTAGAGAAACATTATCTGCATAAGTCCCATAATTCTATTCATCTCAAAAAAATCCGAACAAATAGCCTGAATCCTCCGTTTTCATTATTGTAATATTATCGTTTACTCGTAATTTTCTATTACAGAATGATCTTTGTTTCCTATTGTTCATATCGAAGTTCTTCTCTATGTTAGTCTCACGAGGGAACCTCTCGAGGTGATAAAAAGCTTTTGGACTCGGACTACTTTTATCTTGTAGACCCTAGTGAGTAGTGAAATACCCTAAGTTGGTTCGTGCCCTTATTTTTTTTTTGACTTATGGCACCATCTGAGTAGCAGTAGTAAATGGGTGACTTTGGATCTCAAATTTTGTCCATAAAGAGATCTTATGAACACTAGCATATCCTGAAAGTTTCACTCAAAACAAATGCATACGTCCTGAGATAATGGATTTTCAAAAAACAGCGATTTCTCGCACGAAATTAAAATTTATCATGGAAACCAGTCGTTTTTTAGAAATTCATTATCTCAGGACGTATGCATTTGTTTTGAGTGA